TTTCATGTTAGCGTAAAGTCAGCTATGGGATATTTTATAACTCCTCTAGAAACCTTGTCAGTCGCACTGTAAATGTCTCTCTGTTTCCTGGCAAGGGCTTAATGCAACAAGTCCCATCTGGTGCTGGTAACCGCAACCGTAACCCCTGCAGATGTTAGACAGTGGGGCTGCGGTGGAATGATGTCATTAACATGCAATGCATGGCACTCAAACCGGTACGCTCTGCGTGGGCCTGAGGCAGATGGCGGGGTCACCTGCAGTCAGCCCCCTGTGTCATGTGCGGGGGAGGGGGATCCCTGGAAGCATTGTCCAGGGACAGCAGAATCAGGAAAATAACAGGCCAACAGCCCTTTGTCTGTGCAGGCTTTAGTGGTGAGCTGTATGAAAGAGTCATTTCTATTCATTTTGGACACCCCGCAAATGCACAACAATGTGGGCCATCTTTCTATTTATGCACCCTGAAGGTTGGAATTTCCTAAATGTAAGTCCATCACGCAACGTGGCCAAGTACCACAAAACTGTGTCAACCTAAAGTCCCCTTAGCATTAGTGACACGCCAATGAAATGCGTAGTTAACCTGACGGCTTCCTGATGCACGGAGGAGGGATGGACAAAAAAAGAGGACTTTGCTCGCTGTAGGAGAGCCGCTGATCTCCTGTCCTGCAGCGAAGCCGTAAGAGACTGTTTCAAGAAGATAACAGACGGCAGGCGACTCGACCGAGGTGCTTTTGGTCTGAAGGCTCGGCTCGTTTTCTCCATCCTCAGAATCAAAGCACCCAACTGCGGCTCCATAGAGGTGAAGGTGCTTCTCTCTCTGGTTTTTAAGCGATTCTTCTTTCCATTGTTGATAACGAAGGTTTGTTTACTTGCCTGAAATATGTGTAAAACCAGAAAAATAATCAGCATTATCCCTGTCTGGGACTAACACGGAAACTTTAGAAATAATGCAGTATAACCTGCAAATATCTCTGATTGTGTTATACTTTAAATATCACGTTCTACTTTGCACCATTAAAAAGTACAGAGAAAATAGATTAAAATGTTGCCGGATAAGGTATAAGAGACATGTCAATATTAAATTTATCTTATCCATCTTCACACTAATCATTATGATCTTATTTTGGTTGCTCCACAAATTTTCTATCATTTTGAACTATTTTGGCATCAGATTGTTTTGGAGGGATATACATTAACTAAGTCATGTGAGAAAGATTCACTATTCATGCAATCATATGTCTAGTTAACCACTAGCTAACTACTCTTTGACCCATGGTAATCTAGGGGGGTGGAGTATTTCTCTCCATAAATTTGTAGCATTAACTTCTTTTGCTGACATCTCTACAAACGACAGATTATTCTCTCTAGCATCATTATCTCATTAATAAACCCAACCACACTCTGTCCATCACACTCAAGAGTATGATGTAAACAGACCTGATAACTAACTTACTGTTTAAAAACAATAAGGGCCTAGTTTAGCATTAACATCAGCTAAAGTTGAAATCATTGTAATTGTAATTGCAATTACTGTTGTGTGCAGTTAGGCAGCATGATGGTTAACCCCTCCCCCATGTTTCAGAGCAGATCAGGACTTGGCAAACCTGCAGTGGGTCTCCTGGTGGTAACCATGAGCGTGGTCGGCACCCTGAGGAGGTCTCAGTCCATGAAGGAGCTCTCCACAGGGTACAGCAGGTCATGGATGGACACAGACTTCAGGCTTGGAAAGAAGTCTGTCTCCCAGCTGGTCAAACAGTAAGTGAGGAGAGTGAGGATGTTCCACTCAAGGCCTCCAGTCTCCCAGTGCTAAAAAGCATAAATGAAGAATTCATTCAGTATATGAATCAAATTACAGGATTTTTAGGCTAGCTGATGCTTATCAGTTTGAACTGTAAAGTTTAACTAATTTTTAGCTGTATATCTGATTTGTGCTTTTCTCTTGATTCATAGAACTTATACAAACAATCTGTTTCATAGGTATCAGAGCTCCGCTGATGTAAGAAGCACAGGTTCAGAGGACAGGCAGAAGGTGTCACTCTCACTGAATCAAGTTTGGCTCATAATAGTACAACACTATTAATAATAATAACGATTGAAACTAGAGGATTTCATTTAAAAGGGGATGTTATGGTTTTGTTTCCTCTTCTTTTGCTACAAGAAAGTATTAACCCACAAAATTTACAACCTGGTACTCTAAAGCTCAAAAAATTATTTGGTAACGCTTCACATAAGCTGCACCTTGATAAGGCATTCATAAGCAGCATGTAAGTATACCTTAACATCCAGACATTCCTTTACAGCTTTAATATACATTAATAAGTGAAGGTGCATTGAATGATCTACGAATGCATTATAAAGGCATTATGAAGGTGCAGTTAATATAAAGCGTTACCAATAATTCAACATCAAAGCATCGAACAGTAACTGTAACACCATGTATACCCTCTATGTTTCCTACTTCCTACCTCCTGCAGTTTCCTACTCAAAGAGAGGAGACATTCCAAAGCAAGATGGAGGCCACGCTGCAAAGGTTCGAGGCTAGACGACACGACTGGGATTCTCCTACCAAGGGGTGGTACTCGGGTTTGTCGCGGAGCCGGTCTATGGAGCACCTTCACCTGAGAGAGCTGACAGGGACCAGTGCACTGAGGGCACTGTTTGAGTCCAAGGCTGCCCCCCGGAAGGATTTCGGCAGCAGCCCAAGTCTGAACAGGACACATTCAATCCAGAGCACCGGCTCACCAAGGTGGCGAGGACCACAGAGTGTCGCCACCGCATCAGCTGGAAAGGAGACCCTGGTCCAGGTAAGGAGCTCTTAGGAAAGTGCAGCACGATATGGAGAACAGCAGGACACATTCCTGTCAGGTCCCTGTCATGAGATGTTCCAGGCACTAGAATTAAAAAGAATCCACGAAACAACACCTGCCACTTTTTCTGTCCTTTCTACAGTCATCACACTATTCTCTGCCTCTTCTTCATAAATATTCATGAGTAGGCTTGCTTGAATCACAGCTTTTCTCTGAATAATTAGCAGGCCGAGACCTGGCACCACAAGGACAGGACGACGTCCTCACATACGTAGCCACCCAGGCGAGCACGCGCACCGTCACTACACCGAGCCCCCTGTCGCGGCCACGTGGAGAGAACGCGCTATATGTAAACGCTGAGAATAACTTCACCTTGCAGAGGGCGAGTGCAGTTAAATTAGAGAGGAGGAAGACCATCAGCGGGACGCCTGTGACCTGGGAGAAGACCCCAAGCAGTGGGAGGGGTGAGTACTGGGGGCTGCGTCTTCAGCGAGGACACTTCAGTGCGTCCTCGAAAAAAGGGGCCTCAACCAGGATTCTTAATGAAATTTACAAACAAAAAAAAAAGACAAACATTTTTTTTAATGCACTTAGAAAATTTGATCATTGGGGACGCCCTTCCCAGTTTTTTCCCAGGCAAAAAAAATCCCAGGGGCTTTTGACCATGTCACTGTGTCTTCTGGGTGAACAGTATTCATTCTGGGTGACTGACAAAAAAAATTTTTTAAATCATGGTATATTTATTTATGCTATCTCTATGGTAACCAGAGAAGAGCTAAAAAGTTCAGTCTGGACTTCGCACATGATAAAAAAAAAATGTTGTGATTCGTATCTGGTTCTGCCAAAGACTTCATGCAGAGGGTACAGACAGACCCGGGTTTTGAACGGATAAAAGCTGTGTAACATGAAAAGCCCCTGTAGCCCCCCCCGGCCCCAGGACAGTGAGGCCAGACAGTTGTTTATTGGCATCCCAAACAGCCTCCAAACAGGGGGGCAGACATCTTGCCACTTGTCAACAAGAGTGCACCGTATCCCACGGATGCGACCGGTGTGAGCCGGGTGCCATTTGGCCATTTGGTAATGCCTCGGAGAGGGGAGGGGCATCCAAGGTCATGTGACCCACCCCCCCTTGAGGAGACCACAGGTACCTTTAAAATAATGTCAAGGTGGTGCCGGGTAAGGAATGCACCAAGCTAACAGTAACTCTGCTTCCTGACCCAGAAGCAAGAGAAACTAAAGATAGCCAAAGGCACGGACGGGTAAGCACATAACTATGTTCACTTAGTGAGCTGCTGTAAGGCTGCTAGTTATAGCAAATGGTGCTCACTCAAGTGCCCAGGATCCAGCAGCGATTACAGGCTGCCCTTTCGGGGCTCCTTGACATGTCCTGTTGAGAAGCGCGAGGTGGATGATGTTGATGTGATCATGATTCACATTTAGCCCCAATAACTGCCTCCGTGTAAACCGGGTCCGTCACAGTCTGGAAATAACACAAAGCACTGAAGAAGGTAACCAGCTAGCAGGACACTCTATTTATAACATTCACTTAAGCAATCAGGCATGTGCCTAGTCTGTTTTAGTGTATTTTGTCAATCTTACATTTTCTTTGTTTAAATTTATTTTATGATTAGCTAGGCTTAGGTTAAACATGAGCCACACTACCAACTACTACAACGTCAAAATCAGTTTAAGCTCTAATTTCCAAAATACCTTCAGAGGAACATCCGGCAAATGTCATTCATGATCAATTAGGCACCAAATCGAACTAGAGCCAAAAGCTTCTGACAGTTTCTCATTGTAAAACATTTCTCCTTGTCCACCCAAAAGACGACATCAAATGACATTCTGGTAGCTAGCAGTTAAATGAAGACCAAACAACCACAAGGATTAAACAAAATTGACACAACGAAAAACATCCTAAATATTAGGAAACTCAAAGATTAAAATAAGAAGCACAGTCTAGAAAACTTTTAGATTAACATAGAAGAGCACTTGTTACTAAAGAAGACATTACCACATGCAATAAGACTCAATTCGTAACGTCGTGAGGTTTGGAGTAATTTAGTATTTTGAGTTCTGCCAGCTAATGCTCCGTTACTTCAGGTCCCCTCATATGAATAAGCGTAACTATTAATAAACAAGGCGTGTAAGAGTCCATCACTGGGGGTAAAGCAGAGCCAGCTAGTGACCATAGCCCTAACTCACGATGCCCGATGACATCACCAAACGGGCCTCCCTCACGTCTGGAACAGGTGGTGACACTGTTGAGGGTGGGAATGGGCAGGGGGTCGTCCTGGCGTCCCCTCCCCAGCGCTCCCAGAAGCGGTGATTGACTCACACTGGTGGAATACCAGCCGTAGTACACCCCATAAATAGCCGACTGACTTCATACGTCTGGCGGAACGAGGCTGATAAAAATCAGCTGTCGCCGTGGAACAGCCCATAGAGAAGCAGAGAGACAGCGGTGGACGGCAGCCCAGCGACACAGAGACTGTACACTACTGCACGGGTCAGCACCAAGCAACAGGACTGGTCAGGAAGCAGAAGGCAGAATCGGCAAATCTGCGTGAGTACAAGAGCAAGCTTCTCCCACCCAGAGCCTATTCAGCCAGAATGACCTTCATCTCGTGTTTTGCTTTCTTTAAAAGAATTCACTTTGGAGACTTAAATGGGGCAGTTTATCGCCTGAGATCCGTGCCAGTGGAATGATATGAAAGTGCCAGTTAAAAATCCACAGTCGAGAGTAATATAGGCATAGTAGCAATAAAGTTTAGAGGATGCTTTGACGAATGGCAGGAGGGATAATGCATTAAGAAACACTGCTGTATTTTGTAATTTTAATCCATTTAGAATTACTGGAAGAAAGGCTGAGAGGAATGATTAAGGAAAGCATTGAAGTCCAGAGTTACATGGTGATTCATCTCTAATCTCATTGAGTCTCATAATAAGATCAACGGCATCCTAGAGGATGCACATCAAAGAGGCCCCACAAAGTCGTCGGTCTGCGGTCCATGACACACAGCCGCCAGTCACGCGTTCTCTGTCACCCGTGTCCCGCGTTTCCAAGCTGGCTGGGCAGAGGGGTGGGGGCGAATGCTAATGCTAACGCTAATGCAAGGTCACCCAGCCATGGGGAGGAGGTGCTTCCAGCTCAGCCTGAGGAGGCTGACGGGACAGGCGAGTCTCGGGATGAGCGGTTAGGATTTGGCGTCGTCCAGATAGGTGATCCTACACCCCAGAGGACCATTACAATCCACAATTATTTAAGGAATTCTTCACTAATAGGTAAAACATATTAAAATATATGTGCAATTTTAATACAGCAGTTAATAATACATTACATAGTAATAATTTATTGACATATTGTATATATTAACAGTGATGGTATCATCCATCCAACTGACGGACACCCATCTTCCAAGTGAGGCCCGCATGTAGGGCAAGGCAGCAGTCCGGGCAAGACGCCAATCCATCAGCAAAAACAGTAGATAGTGTCATACAATTTAATTTACATAATACTGAAAGATTCATATTTGGCTCCTTCTTAGGCCCTCCCGAAGGGACTCAGTCCTAACACCTCGGTAAAGGGACCCAGGGTGTCACTGTGCATTAAAATGGGCCGGCGGATGAGCAGCTGAAGATCTTAAATACCCCAGACCTGAGGAACAGCTGTCAGAGAGCAAAGCGACCGCAATGGCAAACTTCTCAGGGTTCTGTGACGGGGACGGCACCCAAAATCATCTCGTAATGTATGAGAACAGCCACTTCTGGATAATCAGGAACAGTTAACTGGTTACCACAGTAATTCAGTTATCAGTAGCTGTCACTGGATATAGGGCACAATATTCTGAAAAATTAATGGGAACAATAAATTAAAATTAATGTGTCTGAGGGTTTGTTTACCAAGGCTTTGCAACACTATTAATGCATTGGTCTCAACAAAAATGATAAAGCAGATCTTTTTTTCACTGATGAATGATTTGATTATGACCTTTGGTTTTGGTTATGAATCAAAATGAAATATTATAATGCAAAACGCAAGTCTGTAGTTGTGCTCTGCATGCACAGCAAGCCGATGTATGTAGGTGAGCGTGTAGGCCATAACAGGAAGGGTTAACCGGCGTTAGGGTTAGGTATTCTCTCTGATCACCCAGCTATGAATCATGTTTTTAGGCTTCTGAATGGAGCCGGCCAGTCGCGTGTCCTTTGTCCAGTGCGGAACCCGAGGTAGCAAGCGATGGCAGATGGGCCCGACGACGGGCAGGGCTGCTGAGCGCTCTCCCACTCTGACTGTCACAAAGAGCTGGGTCGTTTTTCGCTCTAATATTCATTTATAGGTGCTTAACTCACTGCACCAGCCAGCTGTTGTAATCATTACAACACTGGACAGTGTTTAAGTTAGACTTCCAGGCCTTTATATAGCATTTTTCACCAATTTTGGTACCAACCATACACTGTACATGATTCATAAAAAGAGCTCATATGATTATTCTTGATTTGTTTGTAATATTGTTACAGTAAACAGTGAGCAGTCCTTAGGATTAGACAGTTGAGTACTTAGATTACAGTAGTGTGCTTAAATTACTCAGGACCAAGAAAAAACTGGAAGAAAGTAGAGCTTAGCAAAGCTTAGTGCTACTTAGAAGGGTTTAGCATCAATTCTGGGGGGGCAGCTCTTACACCCCGCCCCTTCAGAAAATGGGCCTTCAAATTGTCTGATGGGGTCTACAAACTCCTGTACATATAAGGTTAAAGAAAATCAGTGGGGGTTCCAGCGAGGATTAGAAATGCACTCCAATGGCAGGTCCCATGCTGTGGAGGGGGTGGGGTGGGACATTTTCCACTGCTGCCCATACGAGTGCTGACTGCTCTGGAGGAGATCCCCGCTGGCGCTGTCGGCCGATACCTGGGGCGACACGCCAGCTGAGTCTGCACATCCCTTTGTTGTCCACTGAGTTGTCAGGGGTTTCCTGCCAAAGCAGGTCATGACCAGGACTGGGTGTAATCAGGGAGGGGGCCGCTGTTTTATGCGATCGTTTAATACAACTTCTGTAAGAGAAAACAACTTCATTATGGGTTAATTTTATTTGCCCAGCCCCGCAGAAGAGACAAAACAAGAGACACATTCCACACAACTGAATAGGGACGGGTCCTTAATAGGTACACGTGATGTTAGGGCCTTTACACCCTTTTAGGGTTGAGGTAGTTTTCAATCCCCAGATTCCAAGGTATAACAATAGAAAAGGGATAAGGGCGACTGGAACAGGCTGCTGCTATATATACACACAGCCCATTATCAGGGGTCTGTTTTCCTAGCTGCCAGACACCAATTCCAAAAAGCTAGGGTAGGAAATGCCAACGGGGGCACGTTCTGCACCTGGGTTATCGTCTTTAACGAAAACTAACACTAAAAGAAAACATTTTCATACATGGAAATAAAATAAGATGGAAAAATAAAATGAAAAAAAACTAAATGAAAACTATAAAAGCAAACGTCAAATACTTTCAAATACTATTTTATTCCTGTTTACCTAATAATTAGTTTTTTATCTTTAATTGCTGTTATTTGGGAGATCAGTACATAATGTGCACTGTGTATTTATGTAGGATTCATCAGGCATAAAATAGCTCCACAGTTTTCAGTGAATCACTAGAAAAAAAAATCTAAAAAATAAAAAAACTCAAATGTATAACAATTAAATAGAAATATATTTTAACAATAAAACTGCAGTAAAAATGGATGAAAACGAAACTGGATTCCAAATAAAAACTTTAAAAAACTACAAAATTTACACTAATAACACTGCTTTGGACCCCTACATTAATGAACACTAAACTGGATTCCAAATAAAAACTGATTTTCCCACAACTTTTTCCCCACAGCGAAGGCACTTCTGAAAATGTCCACTAAAATCCCGAGATGTGATCTAATGTATCGTAATTTCACAAAATATCTGTAGCAGGTAGCCTTCACCAATACATATATTGTGTAAATGCGTATTCTAGAAGCATTAAATATACAGACATATTCAGAAAGGCTGAGTCCTGCTTGTGATAATTATGAAAAAGCATGTGAGGTTCCTGATTGCTTCATAATCCCAAGATCCAAGCTTGCTGTGGTTTATGATTCTCTATCTCTACCATTCATAAAGAAATAAATACAGTACCTTAGCATTTTTAACAAGTCTTAGCAAAGCAATATGATGCAGCTAGAAATCTGAGTGGTGCATAACTGGTGTAAATGTTTGACCCTAATTAACAATTCCACCAAAGGGAGACATTTCCAAAGGGTCCCTCCCACCCCATTGGTTAACCGAAAACTGGCTATGTTTGTACTTGAACATGTGACCGCGACTTCTATTAGCTCATATTAATAACATCCCTTCCGTATCCAAGCAGGTGTGAACAGGCTGTCTGAGTCACGCCTCAGAGACCCCCTCTCTCTGCACGGACGAGAAGCCTCCCCTGCTTCCATCCAAGATAGATCGCTGCTCTATCTGTCCAAAGCGGCAGCTGCGGACATAACAGACGGACCCGTAAAACCAGTAAGTGCCTGTCATTCTCCCCATTCTTTCCATACCCTCTGTGTCCCAAAGGTCAAGCCGGTCAAGGCGGGGCGATAAATGTGCTCCTCTGTTTGGGGCAGGGTGTGAAACAAGTGCAATGTCAAATATATAACAAGCATGATGATTAGTGCACCAGACCTGTGAAGGACGAGGCTTCCCATTGACTGCATGTCTCAGTTATCTATGAAGCACATGATGATTAGTGCACCAGACCTGTGAAGGATGAATCTTCCCAGTGACTGCATATCTCAGTTATCCATGTAGCACATGATGATTAGTGCACCAGACCTGTGAAGGACGAGGCTTCCCACTGACTGCATGTCTCTGTTTTCTGTGGAGCACATTTGATCCTTTTTGATTAGTATTCTCTACTTCAGAGTCACAAACGTAAAAAGAAGCAACTTGCACTGAGCCGTTAAAAAATATTTCTGCAGGGCAGCTTCGTGCACAAGCATACTGAAACCTCAGGAAGGTCAACGAAACCAAGCAAGGTACAGACAAGAGTGCTCACTTTTAACACAATTCCCCTCTGACTGCAGTGATGCTTACTAACTGTACCTGTCAGTAAAAACCCGATTACAAACACTGTACAGTAGTCCAAGCAGTAGATATAATGTGACACCTACACCTGGCACAAAGGTGCGAAAAGGCAGTGAGAAATAATTTTAGATAATTTAGATCATGGGTGGGTAAGCTGTTCCATGGAGGGCCAGTACATGTTTTTGGGATGGTCTCTCAATCAGCCAATAACAGTGAGTCCCCAGGACTGGAGTTGAGAACCACTGCTTTATTATTGGCTGATTGAGAGGCCACCCCAAAAACCCACACCCACACCAGCCCTCCATGGAACAGGTTCCCCACCTCTGATTTAAATCATTTAGAAGTTTAACAAATTCCTCTTAAACTGGGAACATGTACAACTGGCCAATACACATTTCTGTATTTTGTCATTTGTTATACATGCAGAAAATGTAAAATATACATCAAGAGTAACACATAGAAAACATATCAAATACAAAATACCACAGTTCTGACCAGGATAAGCAGAGGCAAGATGGATGGATGGATGTAATACAAAATTACCCCATAATGGATATATTCTTTTTCAATAATTTAAATTATAGTGCAGTACAACAAAGAGTGAAAGCTCTTAATCTGTCACTAATATATATCAGGTATCAAACCATGATAGAAGAGTGACCATGAATCTGATTCATTCTAATAAATTTGATACAAGTGGGATCCCCAGCACATTACCCAAGTCATGTTAGCAGTCACTCCTTCTGGAATCAAAAGCTTGACTTGCTTAAGAAGTCAGACCGTCTGTGTGAGGGCTGCTTTACTAACCTCTGTGGAGTCCCATTAACTTCGGCATGAGTGAAGATGGTTTGCCATGAGATGCGTCCCCTGGTTGCTACGGAAGTAAACCAAGGTACAGTACGGCTAGAACAATAACATGCATGGCTTCCAAACTTACATGTATTAAAATTATGTTTGATAAACTGGTTGTTAAAATAACACAAGTAATTCCTTTTCATTTACAGTTAAGATGGCAGATAGACACCAACAGATTAATGTTACCAAGGGGGCTAAAGGGGAGGATGACTTGCCTCTCCCTCCCCCTCCCCTCCCAAGAGCACCCCAGGAGAGTTTGCCTGGCCCAGAGGAACAAAGTCATGCCTTCCTCCCCGTGGTGCCACCCAAGGAGACATTCTCCACCTTCTACCAACAGCGACAGAAGAGCGAGTTGAAAAGGCTCTTCAAGCACATCCACCCTGAGCTGAGGAAGAACCTTGACAACGTTGTAGACGATGAGCTGGTCGAGGTACTGAACTCAGAGACCAAGCAAGCAGACATGGGTTACCAGGGTGAAGTTCAGTCCATGAGGTGGATATTTGAGAACTGGAGCCTGGACAGCATCGGAGATCCTCACTTGACTAAGAAGTTGCTAGAGGAGGAAGTGCCACAAAGAGGAGATGTCAGGGGCACCTCCTCAATTTTCGAACGTGTGGAACTCGACAGTGCTCAGCACTCCTCTACACTCTCGAGGTGCGGGTCCATAAAAGGGGATGTTCACACGGCTACCTGGTTGTTTGAAACACAATCCTTGGACACCCTCAGTAAGACATACCCAGAAGAAGGAGAGCTGGTAGAGGCTGTGTTGAAGGAACCCATTCAGCAGGGGGATGTAAAAGGAACACAGCAGCTCTTTGAGTCTAAGCCTCTGGATGCTTTAGGTCGTTGCACCTCTGTTGAGGATCAGAGCATTTTCAAGCTGAAGTCAGAAATACAAGAGCAGAAAGGGGACGTCAAGAAGACAGTGAAACTGTTTCAGGCAGAACCCTGCTGTGTTATTAGGGACAGCACCGGAAATGTCCATGAGATTAAGTCCATCTGTAGGGAAGAGATCCAAAGCAACAACGTGAAGACAGCACGCTGGCTGTTTGAAACCCAACCCCTGGATGTCATTAACAAGGATGCATCCAAGGTGCAGGTCATCCGGGGTATCTCCCTGGAAGAGGCCCAAAAAGGTGGCGTTGACAAGAAGAGATGGATGTTTGAAACACAACACCTGAGCGCCATTCATGAAAGTATCCAAGAAGACAAGTTTCAGGGAACTATCAGCGTCGTGGAAGCCGCTGATGTCGGAAACAAGAGACAGATGTTTGAAACTCAGCCCCTAGCTGCACTGAAGGGTGAAGCCACCACTGAAAGCTTGCCCAAGGAGGAGATAGTAGGAGGGGATGTACAGTCCACCTTGTGGTTGTTTGAAACCCAGCCAATAGGCACCCTGAAAGACAGCTATGAAGTTGGACGTCTGAAAAAAGTTACAGTGACTAACGAAGAGAAGGGGTCAGTGGAAATCAGAAAAAATACATTTGAAACCAGCCCCCTTGATAGCATCAGCAAAGAGATGACAGAGAGAGGAGTAAAATGCAATGCAGAGGAGATTGAAAAGGGAGACGTTAAGTCCTACAAGCACCTCTTTGAAACAATTCCGATTGGCGATATTTCTCAGGCTGAAAATCTTCAAACTGAAAAGCAAGGGGAAATTATAGCAGAGAATGTTAAAGGCAACATTACGCTGTTTGAGACCACCCCACTGTATGCCATTAAAGACTGTTTGGGAAATTTTCACGAAGTCACAACTGTGAGCAGAGAACAATCTATAAAAGAAAATGTCCAAAATTACAGGTGGATGTTTGAGACCAGACCTATGGATCAATTTGGTGATAAAAAGGCAAAAGTGGAGATCATTAAAGGCATCACAAGGCAGGAGGATCAAGCTGGTGACGTAAAGATGGCAAAATGGCTTTTTGAAACACAGCCCTTGGATAGCATTAACCAGAGGGAGCAGCTTTCCTCAGTTCAACAGGAGGTGACACATAAAGGGGACGTTAAGAATTGCAAATGGTTATTTGAAACTCAACCTATGGACATATTGTATGAGAAGTCTGAGAAGATACCTGAAGAGGAAGCAATGCCGAAGATCAATGTAAAGTCACACACCTGGCTTTTTGAGACTCAGCCTTTGGACGCCATTAAAGATAGTGATGAGCTTCAGCTGAAACTGTGCAGCACATTTCAAGATGATGCAACAAACAACGTTGATGTGAGGATGGTGAGGCACCTGTTTGAGACGGAAACTCTAGACAGCATGGGAAGGAAGGCAGACACAGACCAAGATGTCAGGTATGTCAGTAAGGTCCACATACAGTCTGGAGACGTTTCTCGAGTCAAAGAGGTATTTGAGTCAAAATCAGTGAATGAAAAAGCAACAGCCTTGGCCAGGGTATATGAAACTGAAGAGCAAAACATTAATATTCAGACAGGCTGTGTTCGTAGGTCTACCTGGCTATTCGAGAACAACCCTATTGACACCATTAAAGAAGAAGACAGCAACAAAAACATATCTCCTGTCAGCGATGTGCAGGGTGGAGATGTTGGAAACAAGAAGCTTATATTTGAGACATATTCTTTAGATAAAATCCATGACAAAGAAAGGAGTCCCGAACATCAGTCTGTTTTTGTTGAGAAGCCTGCTACGAGCGTAGATGTTAAATCCAGTACTATGCTGTTCGAGTCCCAGCCTTTATATGCCATAAGAGATAAAGAAGGACAAATTCATGAGGTCACCACAGTCAAGAAAGAAGAGGTGCTGAGTGGGGATGTGAGGGGAGTTCAGTGGCAATTTGAAACGAAACCCTTAGACATTATAAAACCACAGGAAGAGGTTTTTGTGATCCGAGCTGTTACTCAAGAAGATGTCGTCAAGGGTGATGTAAAATCAGCACGATGGAAGTTTGAAACACAACCACTGGACTCCTTTACAAGCCAAGAGGAGGACAGCATCAGGACCGTAGTAGACATTGAAAAAGGTGATGTCCAGCAAAACAAGCAGCACTTTGAATCTCAAGGAGCTTCCTGTCAAAAATTTGTGAGGATGGTCAGCGTCAGGGATGTCCAAGAAGGTAATGTTAGAACCTCCAGCTGGCTCTTTGAAAATCAACCTATAGACACCCTGAAAGGTGAGCTTCAGGAACAGTCCACTGTGAAGACAGTACATAGACTGGACAGTCATAAAGGCGATGTGAAACGGTGTACGTGGCTATTTGAGACGCAACCATTGGATACCATCAAGCAAGTGGATCCCTCTGCAGCCAGTTTAACTCATGAGGCAATACCTCAAGCAGATGTGAAGAGCACAACTTGGATGTTTGAATCAACACCACTTGACAGGATCAGTTTTCAAAGGAGAGAAGATTCAGAGAAAGGTGTGAAGGAAACTTTGAATTGTCTCCACTACTTTAAGGTTATTCACGCACAGGGGATTGTTATAGAAGCAAATGAGACTCATGGGAAAAGTGTGAAAATGGCAAAATATCAATTTATAAATAATCAAGGGCCAAGTATCCTAAAAGAAGAGACAGTTGAAGGGAATATCAAGAACATTATTCTGCAGCTGTTACTCAGAACAAACCTAACACACCAGATAGTTCTTGTAAAAGAGGATGAGCATGGACTTGTTGAAACCACCAGAATGCAGATTCCAACCACTGAAGCAGAATCCACTGCACATTCAGACCAGGGACAAAAAATGGCAAATGTTGCACAGGTCATAACAGGTCTACTCAGTTATGACGAGACTCGGAAAGAAGGAATTGTGATGCAAGAAACTGAGAGCGGCTATGCTGCGATGACTGTGTATTCACTTTCCAGTCACTACGAAAATCAAACCGATAGTCATGAAATAACAAAGGGAAATGTGAGATCGACTATTGGGAGCCTCTTATCTACTGGCCAAGACCACAAGGCCCAGGCTTCATTTCAATTTGAAGAAAACGAGAGAGGAAATGTGAATCTATACAAGAGTTGCATTGAAAAAGGAGACCTTGAGTATCTTAAAAGTCTTCAAACAGAACCATCAGAGAATGATTCTCCACTGAAGGAGCCAGTCGAGATTATTCATGGAGATATCAAAGAAGCAAAGAGAAATCTGAACCAACAAAAAGAGAAGGTAGAACGGACAGTCCTGGACATAGTGCGGGGTGATGTTAAGAACGTCAAAAAAGTCTTCTCTGAAGGTTCTACTGAGCAAGGTCACATGCAGAAGGAAGAAATCATCCGTGGTGACGTTTCCTTGGCCAAACACTCTCTGGGGCAGGCAGCAAATCAGCCCATTGTACTAGAAAAGGAGGAAATCGTTTCTGGGGACATCAAGGCAGTAAAAGAATCCCTTGAACAAGCAAAGAAACAAAGCATGCGGGTGGAGCGTGAAATCATTATCCCTGGAAAGATTTATGATTTGGATGTGTCATCACAGGAAGCCTGTGAAACAACAGGAAACCAAACCACTGTATCAAAGGAAGAAATCATATCAGGCAATGTCAAGGCTGCAAAACAATCACTGGAGCAAGCGAAGAGGCAGGGTATGCGAGAAGAACGAGAGTTCGTTATTCCAGGCAAAATTTATGATCTGAATGTTTCCACCTCAGATGACACTTCACAACAAATTCAGAATAACAGTACAAATCAACAAACAGTGACCCAAGAAATAGCTTCCACACAGGGTCAGATACACCAAAACCTTATTACCACTCAGAAGAGCACGAGTGTCCAGCAAGCAAGGAGTCTGCACACGTCCGTGCAAGTCTCGGAAAAAACGGAAACGTCCTCCGTCTCAACCATGAAGGAGATGAGAAGTCAGCAGATGACATCAAGTCATCAAAAGGTCAGTGTCTCCGAGGAGGAACTGGGATCTGATGAAACACATAAAATCACAAGGGGCAGAGACGTCAGGGTCACCATAGGTGATGCTGATCCAGAGCGTTCCATTGTAAATCCTTTTGTAAGTTCAGAGAATGGAGACAGAGAGAATAATGAAGCTGCTGTTGTGAGAGGAGATATAAAAGCTGCTCTGAAATCTCTGCAGAGCCCTGCTGCGGCACAGCCAGTAGAAAAAGAAGAAGTTGTAAGAGGTGATATGCAGGCAGCTCTTCGGTCCCTTGAAAAGTGTAGTATTAATGTGTCCAAGGGAGATTTCAGAGCTGCGATGATATACAGAAATGCAGGACAGTCTTATTCAGAGAGCAGAAAGAAGCAAAAAACGGAGAGTGAAAAATCTGCTGGTAAGCAGCCAGATTTAGCACCTGTGCTTCCATCTGACACTGAGTTGTCTCCTTCAGTTTCAGTGATTTACGAGGAAAGGCCAGTCACCGGAACACTGAAGCTGGCACCCGTGGCAGACCCCAGCCCTGACGCAAGCTCAGATAGGACAAATGCTTCTTCAGCTTTTGCCAGGCAATTGCAGAACCCACCACCGCTGCCTCCCAAAGTGTGTGACAAACCGTCAACTATTAAGCCAATCATTCCTCCAAAACCACCATGTTTAAACACAGCCCCTGGACAAAATTTCAGAACTAGGCCTGTCTCTGCAAAACAGCCTGAGCACCACAGGAATAGTCAGCAAACTCCATTAATTCCACCAAAACCCAAACACCAACAACAAAGAGAACTTTCTCCCCCGCCATTACCTCCAAAGCCTTTGATCTGTCAAGAAAACGAGCAGAAGGACTCTGCACACAACAAAGCTTTCAAAGACTGTCACAGTGAGGGAACAACCACTAAAACAGTCCAAGGACATTCTTTAAACTTTGGCTACACCAAGGAACATGAAGCTGTTGACAAAGAAATAATTTTGTGCCCTGGAGAAATTAAGCAAACAAAAGAGATTCACCCAACAAATGAAGTGGAAGAAAAGGTCACAAAAACTATTAGTAAAAAAACAGCCATCATTAGCAGTGATGATGAAAAGGAAGGGGACAAGCAGGGGCCACAAAAAATTAATGCAGCGGAAGAGATCCGTGCGTGCATGCAGAGTTACTCAGAAGACGGAGAGGCCAAGAGTGAAATTAACCAAAGTTTTCAAGCCGCTCTTCAAAACTTTGGAGGGCGAAAAAATAGTAACACTCCGATTTTTCCCAGGAAAATTAAAGTAACTCGAGATGAGGTTAGAGATGAGAGAGAGAAGGACAGCTGTATTAAACTGACACAGGGCTGCTCAAAGGATGCCGGCCAACAGGGTGACGAAGCTGGTCCTCAAGGGTCTCATGCCTCAGTAGCACAGTCACCTGCTATAGAAAGCTCCTGCAATAATGAAGAACGCCACGAAGAAGGAGAGACAAAAGTAGTTATGAGGGAGAAAAAAGCTAAGAAAGAAACAGAAGATGAGCGCCGACAAAGGCTGTCGGTGCACAAAGAAGAAATAATGAGAGGCAACGTGAAGGCGGCGATGGAAATCTTCGAAAATCTGAGGAAACGGGAAGAGCTTAAGATAATTCTTTCGAAAGTAGCAGAAATAGAGGGTGAGACCAGTGAAGTCGACGTTAGGTCCATGAAGAACTTATTTGAGAATGTGCCTGCCTGGATCGTGGCTCCTGGTAAAAATATGACACATGGTAAGTCTACAGGGGAAACGAAGGCAAGAAGAACACAGTCGACAAAAGATGACATAGACGGTATCTCTTCAGTTGAGGTTGCCTTTGGTGATCTTGAAAGAGCAAGTGCAGAGATAATCCATCTGAAAGAGCAGACTTTAACTAAACTTATGGACATAGAAGAGGCAATAAAGAAAGCGTTGTATTCTGTCTCCAACTTGAAATCAGAGTCTGACATCGCTGGCCTGTCTGGACTCTTCAAAGAGTCCCTTGGAACCGTGCACAGCTCTCCTGCCACTAACAATATAAGGAAAATAAGCATAGTTTCCAGCAAAGCTAAAATAGAACGAGGGAAAGAACCAGACAGGGCCCCAAAAAGCACCCCAAAGCCAGAGAGCAAGAAGGTTGGAAAATCAGTAGAAACCCAAAGACCAGCTCAGGATGTGGCCAAAATGAAATCATGTACTGGTTCTCAGTCTTCCCCATCCTTCATCTCCATTCAGTCAGCTGCAAGGAAACCAGCAGAGGCCCCCAAAGTACCAACAGCTTCTCATCAGCAAAACGGTCCGGCCCGCTGCAGGCCTGATGCATATCAGTCCAAAGTAAATGGCTCCGCCTCAAAGCCCAGCTTTTACAGTCCGCTTAACTCCCGACGGAATGTCAGTGTACTAGAGCTGCAAACTGTGCCTGAACCAGCAGATATAATTGGCACAAAGACCATTAGCGAAAAATACGAAAAGACAGATTGCTTCGGTAACAAGTTTGTCTCCTCTAAGACTTCTACTATCGTCACGAAGCAAGCGGAGACAAAGACATCGTCCACTTACGAAGCAGTCTCCACCCCCAGCCGATATGACGTCTTGACATCTCCTCCTGCTCAGAGGTCTGCTAAGATGTTCTCAGAAAATCCTCAGCCCAAAGTTAATGAGAGCGGAAGAGTTTTTGTCACATTTGGTCACCCAAGGCCAGCAAAGCCCTGAAAAAAAATGACAGAGTGACTCTTTTTGTGTGTTTATCCTAAGACCTGATGCTTTGCAATAACCAGCTTGTCGATTTTTTTAGTCGCACTAGATTTTCATGTTCCAAAATACAAATTTTTGTACTTAAATGTATATTGTATTTATGATTGAATTTGTATAATTATATGAAATTTTGTATTTCATAAACTCTTATATTTCAATGCAGTTTTACTGGCCTTTCTGTACTGATATATCTACTGAAACAAACTGTAGTGAAATGTGTATGATTACAAGTAATGAAATAAATATCATTATAAATAAATAATTGCTTCCTATGTTACGATAATGAATACTTGAGAAAAATTTTAATCTCTACAAATATACTGTATGTGAGATTTAAACATACAAACAAGATACAATTTTACAATATACAAACAGATCAGCAATTACATTGATGTATTTCAAAATATATGTCAAAATACATACTCCATTGAGGACAGCGGTGTTTGAGGATAATAGTCTAATTATATATAGTGCAAATATTATTTCCATCCATCCATCTATCCACTATCCTGATTAGTGTCATTGCATGGGGGTGTGTGGGCGTTGCAGCCTCTCTCAGGTAGACCAGGGCACAAGGCTGAGGGACACCCTGGGCAGGATGCCATAGTAAATAATATTTATCTGACGTAAATACATTAAGTTCTGTACTGTTTAAACTTTGTCCCATTTATTTTCATATCGTTCTCCTCATAGTTCCACTCGACACTAAAGGAAATATGTTCTGCCTGTCTGGAGCCTGTATACCCTATGGAGAAAATGGTTGCTGATAAAATAATCTTCCATTCCAACTGCTTCTGCTGTAAACATTGTAAAAAGAAGCTGGGGTGAGATACATTTTATTTTATTTCATAAAGATAGTCCAATCTGAAAGATGGTCTCGTTCTGTATTTGTATTAGTAATTTAACAAAATTTTAATTCGTAGACTCATTAGTTTTTCACAGATATATGAGAATCTTTTCTTGCTTCTCTTCTTTGCAGAATTCACAACTATTCAGCTATTTATGGAGAGTTCTACTGTGTATCTCATTACCAGCAATTGTTCAAAAGGAAGGGGAATTATGATGAGGGATTTGGCCACAAACAGCACAAAGACCTCTGGCTTAAGAAGACTACAGAGTCTTTACATTCTAACGAAAAGACTTGCAAAGACCCTAAAGGGGAATCCAAGGCCTTTGTAGAGTCATCGGGCTCTGCAGCTCCAAAAAAACAGGAATTCAGGGACACAAAGACTGCGAGTAGTCGAGATACAAGAACAAAACTGAAAATTAATTGGCCGCCAGAAAAACAGACATCTGTAGGTCGCCTAGTAACACCTTTCAATGGTGAAAGGAAGCTAAGTGAGACGAGTATAGTGGAAGCTAGCTCAAATTCTCCAAGCAAACAAAGCTCAGGAAATGTACTGCAAAGTCCAGAGGGATTAATGTCAAAGTCCAGTAAAACTGGAGACAACAAAAAGGTTCCTTCATCACCCACACAGAGACTCAACAGCTCCTCTGTGCCCCCTGGGCCCGGTATGAAGCACAAACCCAAAGCTGCAGCCTCAGAGCATGCGGAAATGCCGAGTCCAGCACTATCCCGTCCATGGAGTGTCTCTAATAAAATAGTTCTTTTTCAAGAAAGTTCCCCAATAAATGCCTCCTCTTTTAAAGTAAAGGAAACGCCACAGAAAAACACTCTAGTTAAAACAGCACATTTAACACTGCCTGATTCAACACTGACTCCAAGAAAAGACCAGTCCGACGTAACTAAGAAAGTAACAGCCTCAGACAAAATGAAAAAATCTGTTCGCTTTGCAATGAAGATTGATACTGAGCTGGATGGTAATACAAGCACAGAGGGAGATTCTGAAATAAACACAGAACCTGATTTTGTATGTCACAGCAGTAACCCAGATATTGTACCTAATGAGGATAAAGACTGCAGACCCACAGTACTGGGAGCCAAGGAGGAAATTCTTGCCTCTTTATTCATCGATGACGCAATTAAGGACCAAAATGAGAACATTCCTAATCCATACAAATGTCAACTGGAGGAAGAAAATGAAATAAATGAAAACATAATTAAACCAAAGAATTTAGAAAGCACTGATGTGAATGCAATTCAGTCTTCTGCTTCAGTTTTAACAGAGTATTCACAGACTTTAATTAGTACCACTGTAGAAGACACTGTTAATAAAAGCTTGGCAGAAGAGGTCTGTGACGCCGATTTTGAGAGGTATGATATCCAGACAAGTGGGAAATCATATGAAAACAGGGAAGTCAATGGAGAGCTGGCAGAAGAACCCAAGAGTGGGAGTGTTCATGCAGAAGAAACAGACTCAGAAGTGAATCGAAAGGAGACTATGACACAAACCGCTGCTCAAGAAATGGAGCGACACAATGACAATCTAGAAGCTAACGAGACTGAGCAGGAAACACCCGACATGTCTGACAAAACTGTCCAAAAATCCCCCACACCGAGTGCAGCTAACAAGCAGAATGGGAAGGCTCACGCTCGCAAAGAATCTTGGTCAAAGATGTCGGGTCAAGGTAAAAGCCCCTTCTCAAAGCTTTTCACATCTAGTGCCAAAGATAAAACAGAAAAAAAAGAACCCACAGAGACCAAGAAACCAGAGGCCAAACCGAGGTCCATACTGGGAAAACTATTCCAATCGTCACCTGAAAAAGAAAAGAAAGACTCCAAAGTGGCAGAGGCAAAACATGCTGAACCAGGAACAGTGACAGAAAAGGCCAGTGACGCTTTTGTGAAGGACCCCATGGGCGACAACACTCAGGTTGATCAGACTGAACAAGTAAATGCCAAGACTGCATGGAGACCTTCAGAAATGAACAAAAATGAAGAAATCAAAAGCAGCGCAAGCTTAAGCAATGCAGTGAATATCTCCGGAAACACACACTTATCCCTACAAGTAGATGACGGCAGCTCAAAAACAATCCTTTCGCTCACCAGTACAAATGACCTTAACCCTACATGTCTTAGTTGTGAAGAAAATTATGAGCCAAATACATCTACTGAAGAGGCACCCGTCACTGGTGAATGTTTAACACTTTCAGAGTCCAGTGTGCATGCTTCAAGTGAAGCAGGCCTTAGTCACACCATTACTGAGGAGATGAGTATCATTAATCCAATCAATTCAGCAGAGCTGTTGGTCAACTCAGATGCAGCGATAAAGAAAGGTACTACTGAGGATCCTACTTTTCTGGGTCCTGTCATGAATGACACCAGCGAAGGAGATGCCCATTCAAACCTTATACAGGCAGCAGTCTCTGAACATTCTTTCACTTTGCCTCCAATTGACCATTCTCCCTTCACTGAGAACATAGGCAATGAAAATCCCAGCAAGATCTATGAAGATGTTCACACAGAGAAAAGTTATACTGACCCCATGACCTCTGAGTCTACAGAATGGTTATCATCCCTACTAAACACGGAGGTCATGTCAAACACACAAACTGACATCACAGAATTTAATGTTACGGAGGATGCATCCGAAACTACCCTTAATCCATTCGGACAAGTTGTAACACTAGAATACATTAAGCCAGAAGTTACTGCTGATTCATCAGCACAAAACCTCCCACCGACAAATGATCCCGAAGATCTCATTGGTTTAAGTAACACTCCACTGAGATCAGTTGATGAGGAATTTGATATATTTAGCAACAGTGATGGTCCATTGGTACTCAATGCAGAATCCAAACAACATGAAGTGGATCTTGTCACTATAGTGGATTCCTCTCAAGCTGAAGGGAATAACCTATTCAATCTGAGTACTGAAAAGGCAGTAGATCATCAAGGACAAGACACAAGCTTTGACATATTTAGCACAAACAGTGAAGCGCTGGTCTGGTCAGGTGCTTCTACTGCATTCGATAAAGACAATGCTGGTTTGGGTGTCTCCTCAGCAGCGCTCCCCTCAGTTTACGCAGAGGACATCTTTGGGGAGAATGATTTTTCAGTCAGCCTGGGGATCCCAGCTGAACCACCATCTCGAGGAGACCCCGAAATTTTCACTGATTTCCTCGGCTTGGACCAAACAGCCATGGCTGGCTCCACTACAGACATTCCGGTCAACTTGTTCTCCGCTGACTTCTTTGCAGCAGAAGCTCTCAAGCCGCCAGCAGCCAAGCCAGACACTTCAGCCGAAGGGATCGACACATTCCTCGATCCATTTAGCATGGGCTCCATTACCACAGAATCAGAAAACCTGAATGACAACTGGATGGACGATTTATTAAGCTAGAGATCTCTGCAGGGCTTTATTGAACACAACAGACGTCAAGGATTCTGCTGCAGTCTGGGAGTTATTAAATCTGTTATACAATCATGAATGTTAAATTTTGACATGGCACCAAACACATATTATGCCATATCATAGCTTGCCAGTCTTATTGCTCAAACGCATACTTACATATATCATTAATTACCTTTAAATCATACATTTGAATATATCAATGTCAATATTTTGGAAAACTATAGAAATTATTATTGTGTATTTCCACCAATACAGACCTAATGTTTATTGTGAATTGTTAGTATTTTCTTCTGTTTTTCTGGCTGACCATACGCTCTGACTTCAAGCTTATCTCATTTGTACTTTGCTCTATCAAATAAATGAATGGAACAATCACTTCATATATTTCAGACTTGATCCAGAGACTGGCCAAAAAAACTTGACTCATAAAGATGCCCGAAAGACCTAAACAGAAACCCAATTAAATCAAATGTATATAAATTTTATTCTGATAAATGGATACAATACACCATGTGACTGGATATTTTAAAAGATCATATTGGAAAGTGAGCTCTAGTAAGATTTTTCAGTTAAATTAAGAAAAATACGGTTCATGTCTTTCGTACATACTGTCTTCATTGGTCCCAATCCAGCTTAAATAGCTCTTTTTTACTATCTTGCAGAAAGACAATTTCCTGTCCTTTGTATTGTTTTTTTTTCATTCATCATCGGTGCATGTGTGTTAATTATCAACTTAACAATCATTTGCAGCACAAGACATCCATGTGTGCGTTTTATAGCCATAAAATAAAACTAAATGTGCGTTTGAAGTTGAAACAGGAACATGAAGGCCCTTTACACAGAGCCATTGATACAGTTTCCAATTCACCAATTCATTTGATTGACCATGACATAGACACATGGAATTATGGTGAATTACACACATTTGTTAATTACTGTTGATGCCCAGTCTAAACAAACTGCATCGAAAGGGCGGGCTTGTCGTCTGATGCTCCTCCATCAGGAAGAGAAGGCTGGAAGT